CACCTGGCTCTGCCTCCCAAGTGCTGGGATTAAAGGTGTGCACCACCACCGCCCAGCTTCTTTTTTTAATTAAAATATTTTTTTTTAGACAAGGTCTCATTATATAGCCTGGGCTAGCCTGGAACTCATTATGTAGACTAGGATAGCCATGAACTCAGAGATCAGCTTGCCTCTGCCTCTCAAATACTGTGACTAAAGGTGTGCACTACCCACACTTTCCATTTCTTCAGACAGATTTCTTTGTGTAACTTATTAAAATAATTGAAGATTTTGCATAAAAACAAAGTAAGCATTTAAACATTTGAAATCACACACACACAAAACAAGAAGCAATAAGGAATTAGTCACATAGTTAACAAAAAGTAAAAATAAAAAGTATATTCACAATAAGGAAATAATATAGTTATAAGATTCATACGGTTAAAGAGTGTATGTGTAGCAAAGCATTTATAGTCATAGCCTGGTTCAAACCTCACTAAATCTCACCTCAGGAAAGGTTTTTTTAATAAACATATTATCATTTCATTTGATACTTAATTTTATTTTGAAATGTGAAGCTGAGCAGGACACTACACAATAGTTCTGAGATTAACAAAAATTTATTCTACATTATGAGAGCATATCGATAAGTTCAGAAGAAGAAAATAATGTATGGTTTGTGGAAATCTACCACTACTGAATAATGCTCCTCTGTCAGGAGACGTTTAGAAAGAAGCTTCACTGGTATGCATAAGCAAGTGTGTGACTGGTACGCAGTGAGAGAGGAAGATTAGTGTTCCACTTCCATAATGGCTACATTATCTTGTTAAAGAACTGGTCTTGGATTTCCTTTTCTGTACCCATTTCTTTTTACTTACACTCTACAGATATTTTTTTAATATCCTTTTAAATTGTTTAACTACATTTCATAGTATATAAGCTATAATTCTGGTTAAGTTTAGAATGCTGTGTTTGTGGAACTATGTATCTCCCTTTATAACACATTTACAGTAGCCTAGCAAGCCCTTCATTCTAGAAGGGAACCGTGGAGATACATGGCGTAAACTTTCGTTTTACTGCAGCTTAATCATTGGTATCACATGACTTTTACAGTCACTTTTCTTGAGCAGGTTTTCCATAAGTACTGAGAGAGTCACTGTGAATCAGCTTTGTTACAACAGTGTGATTCCAAAGGGATCTTTACTGAGTTCTCTTGGATCTTTGCAACTGGAACTTGGGGGCTGACGGCGTGTGTCAGGAAGACAGAAAGAGATGGCACCACGTCAGATCTGAGTTCCTGGGTCTGCACTTAAAGATTATCTGTTGAAGAATGATTCTTCCCCATGTCCTCTCCAAAGCCAGATCTGTCACTTCTCCAGAGGCTTAGAAGGCCCTATTTCACCACTGCCACACAGAAAAAGACAAAACTCAAGAAAAATAACATCACAAGGCAAACTGCTCTACACGACAACATCATGCTTAGGTCAGAATATCTTAGCTTTGGCAAAGGCACACTGTTGAAGGAACAGAGTAGGAACAAGAGCATACACAGCTCCTAGAACTTACTTACAAACGATTCCTCCTGGTCTAAGTCTTCGGATACAGGGCACCTCTCTAGTTTTGCTGTCGTATGGTCTAAGTAAGCGTGGCTGCGCACGTAAGTACGTAACAAGAGACAAGATGGCGTTTCAGAAGCAGGGGAGCAGAGCGAGAGGGGCTTCCTTTCGAATGAGATGGTTTCACAACGTGTTTGCTAACGACAAACATCTGACTGAAATACAGATGCGATGAATTTGAAAGTTCATCTTCCACCATCACACGGAACTACTTTCTTCAAATACCAGGCGTGTACTTTGCAAATGAAAGCCAAGTACAAACACGGCCGGGAATGGTCCTGGGTCTGAAACTCTCTTCACCCATCCCCTGACATTGGGCAAAGCGGTATTTTTTGCAAGAATGTTTTGCCCTAATACTCATATCCTTAAAAAAAAAAAGAGTCCCTTAAAATATTTTTCTCACATTAGGGAACATAAGCATCTGAAGGAAAAGGTGATTTTCATAATCTGGGTGCTTAGATTTGTTTAATCAGAAACAACCCTGTAGCTGTGCATGGTGATACATGCCTGTGATATGGCACTTGGGAGGTAGAGGCAGGAGGATCACCCTGTTCAAGGCCAGACTGGGCTACATGAGACCCCACCTTCAGAACACAACCAAACCAAACCCTAGCTCTGTCTGTTCACTTGAGAGTGCACACTCGGGTAGCACTATTGGCTTAACCAGAGTGGAAGCCATGTTTTAAGTACGGCTTAAAGGCTGTAAGTGTAACTCTAGTCCTTCTTCAGATGGGTCATTACAGACTACTGTGCCATTTCCTTGTTTGGTTGGTTGGTTTTCTGAGACGGTTTATTTGTGCAGCCCTGGCTGTCCTGGAACTTGCTCTGTAGACTAGGTTGTCCTTGAACTCAGGTCCGCCTGCCTCTGTCTCCCGAGTGCTGGGATTAAAGGCGCATGCCACCATGACCAGCTTTTTTTAATGCAAATTTTTATTCTTGGCTCCGAAACGTCTTTTATCATCTTCCTCGGGTGCTAGCCTTTCCTATGATTTTCTACTTAGCTCAGTGGTTAGCACAGACACATTAAAATTTAGAAACCAAGATTGAACTGTATTCTTCATATCACCTTTCAGTTTTAATGCTCTTCTGCCCTCCATCCATCTGCGTGGGCTTTGATACAAAGAAAATCTCTCATTACTAATTTGCCTCAGTGATTTGGTTCTCTTGACTATCATAAGGAAGTTAAAGATTTAATCTCAATGCTAACTTTTTGCCTTTGCCAGAATATAAACATATAAAGAGCTAAGTTTCATGTTTTTTGAGACCATACCCATTACCAAGTAATGTGTCCTCGAGTTAGAGAGAGCTGCGTAAGGAGCAGGCCATTTAAATGTCTACATTGTTTCCAGTCACAGAACATTCTCTATTTCATTCCTTTATTTCAAAATGTCACTGACATATGGTAGGCAAATTACCCAAGTGGTAGCTTTAGCATAGGATCTGTTGTCGAGTCATTAACTAGTAGCTCAAAGGTCTGAATCTTGTTCTCCTTAAAGCACTAGTTAACTTTTTGTGTTGAGTGCTGCCACATGGGTGGTCATGAAGCTGTGACCTCCCGGGGTCATCTTTCACTTCTGTGAGACCACCATTGAAGAGTTCACCTAGAAATCTAGATATTTTCATCAGTGGAGTTATACACTGTTAGAACAACCAACTTTTGGTTTTAAGCAGATTCCTTTAGGAAAGCAACCACACTACACCATTGGGGGAGGGGAATGTCTGCTAGCCAAAGGAATCCTGAGTTTCTTATCCACGTCTATTCATGCAAAAAGGAGAAAACTGGTTATTTATTTTTTTTCCCCCCCTCGGGGAGATTTGCTCAAGTACTCTGACTTCTTCAACTCACTAGTTCCAGGACTAACACAGGGGAACAGAGGTTGGTGGAGTGAATGAAACACAGAGAGCAGGAACAGATGGAGAGGAAGCCCCAGCCCAGACGTGCAGTCTGAATTCAAACTAACTTTCAATTGATTATTGGGCCCTCAACTAACTATCCCACCGAATGCTTTAAGTTTAAATGAAGCATAACCAAAACAGTCCTCAGCATTTCCAGTCTAAAACAACATTCTGAATGACACATTTAAATCCAGTTGTGCTTTCTCCTTGCAGATCCTTACCTACGTACCCACTATTACCAGTCCACCTTACCAGGCGTCACAGATGACGGATGACGGATGAGCACCACCCCACACCATCTTTATCATGTGTGTCCTAAGCTGAAAAGGCACTTCTTTGTAGATGGAACGTGTGTCTTCATGAGCAAGTACAAGAATGTAGCCTACGTCAAAGACTGAGTTCAAATTCCAGGTCTAACATATACAGTTTCTGTGTGGCTTAGGAAAGAGTCTTTGGACCTTAGTCCTTCATCTGGAAAATTAGTATACTTACCTCAAAGAGGAGGAGGACCAATAAAAATTGAGTGGGCAAAACATCTGCATATAGCCTGCTGAAGAAATGGATGTTCAGACTGTAGGGAGCCCTACTTTGGGCAGACTATGGGTTTCCTAAGCTGGGATGTAAACTTCAAATTATTAACACGAAGGATGGCTTCACTTGTGTTAGTTTCCTAGCGGCCATACCATCACACCTACTTTACTGAGCTGAGCTAGCAAGCACCGAGGACAGAATTTTATGAAAATATGCTCCCGCAGGGTGGCGGTGGCACACGCCTTTAATCCCAGCACTCCGGAGGCAGAGCCAGGCAGATCTCTGTGAGTTCGAGGCCAGCCTGGTCTACAGCG